TTTTGACCAAAATGCATGGACCAAAATGCATGGACTATAGCCCACCAAAATGAGTGAAAATGGACGATCTTTGACCAAAATGCATGGACTATAGCCCACCAAAATGAGTGAAAATGGACGATTTTTGACCAAAATGCATGGACTATAGCCCACCAAAATGAGTGAAAATGGACGTTTTTTGACCAAAATGCATGGACTATAGCCCACCAAAATGAGTGAAAATGGACGATTTTTGACCAAAATGCATGGGCTATAGCCCACCAAAATGAGTGAAAATGGACGATTTTTGACCAAAATGCATGGGCTATAGCCCATCAAATTTCCGTGAAAAATAAATACATGGAATAACTCTTGTCATGGAACGTAGTTTAATGAAAAAGTTCTTGGTATGTATATTTTCTTAATATATAAGTGTAGTTTTACATATAAAAATATTCATATACACAGTTATTTATTTACAGTCTTAAATAAATCCCGCGGTGATATTTGATTTTGAAACTCATAATTTTTTATCACTTTTCAAAGGGCATAATTTCTTATACCAACTTTATTAAGGCTGATTTACACGGTACGATTTGTCGCGCGCGACTTGTAGTATACGATTTTCCTACTACAAGTCGTAGGATTTTAAGCAGTGGTTCAAAATCCTACTACAAGTCGTAGATTGCGTACGACTGTTGTAGACAAGTCGTAGGGGCATTTACACTGCGCGATTCAAGTCGTATACTACAAATCGCACGAGACAATCGTGCCGTGTAAATCAGCCTTTAGTAGCGCCTATATTGCACTTTTAATGTTTCCCTTTTAAAAGAGTAATGTGTGAAAATTATTCTAAAATCCATTAATGCTCTAAGTTACTAGCATTCATGGTGGTATTAAACTTCGCTTGAGTATGAGACTAACACGAAACCGATTCAGTTATAAAGACGGCACTCTTTCTCTACTTTCTCTGGTGAAACTCTTTGCTCGACTGAGTATTTTGGGTTTTGATTTATGTACCGAGTCATCTAGACTCCCAGAACTGGTTTTTCTGCAGAGTTAAAAAACGAAAGGTTAAAAGATGAGAAAAAAGACGTCAAGGAAAGAAGAGGAAGGACGAAGAATGAAAAGGCAAAAAGAAAAATCAGCTGAACGACCAATGAGAAAGGAAGACACAAAATCAATAATTGCAACAGTAACAACAACACAATCAGGAGTAGAGAACAAGAATATGAAAAAGATGAAAAAAAGGAATGAAAGATGTCCAATACAAAATACAAACATATAAACAACAACAACAACAACAACGAAAATGGAGAATATAGAAGAGATGATAAGAAAAACATACTGAAACCTCACCTTTTTGATTTCGAAAACATGTACTTCACAACATCCTTAAATTTCTTTTTACTTTTAAGTGGCTTCTCGTCCAGCTGCTCTTCGCTTTCCATTTTCTTTTCGCTGGCACCTTTAAACCCAGAAGCAATCACTTCATCAAACACAAGTCTCTCTTCCACAGAAAGATGTCTGAAATTGTTTGTATTTTCATTTTTTTTCAGTGTGTTTATTGGTGAGTTTTCGGTTATATCACCAGACACTCCAGAGTCAATCAGACTGTCTTTGGATGTGTCAAGACTTCCAATGCTTGTCCCAGTTGTACCGGAAGTGCAAGATACAGAACTCGGCGTTCGACCGAACAAATGATGACGTAATGCGCCATCGGAATGTCTTTTTTGTAGACGAGGTTGTTGTCGATGAATCCAAACAGGAGCATCGTCCTTTAATAAGTCATTGTCTGATTTAGATTTGTCCTCACTGACTATATTCTCATTTAGTTCTCCTTTCATCGGCAAAGCGACAGAAATAGGTCTTTCCTGTATTCCTTGTTTTCTCTCTCTTCTAGCGTACGGGCTTCCTTGGTTAGGATATGTTTGTAAAACCAGCATTTCTTGTTCATTAATCGTAACAACATCATGATTTTTAATACTCTCTGATTCCTCTTTGGAGTAGATCCCAGCTACAGTCTCTATGATTTCAGATGTTGATATAGCAGGCGAGGGGTTCAGGCTGGCAGGCATGCTATTAGCTTGAAGACAAGGGTTGCATGCTGCAATCACCTTCAGCCCGTCCGTAGAGCCTGATATCGGCGTGCTTGCAGGAGATATCGTCGGTGATAAGTTAGTGTCTGATGAATCAAACGTAAATTTGTTTCCAGATCGAGTAAAAACAAGGTTTGATCCGCGTTCTTTCTCCAATTCTGGTAAAGTGTTGGTGCTGACTGCCTTCCCCTCGAAGGAACGTCGCCATTTCTTTGAACGTCGTTGCCAAGACCGTTTCACAGACTCGGCAGCGCTCTTAAGCTTGCTTTGTCTATTACAAAAAAACAGCGTACATTAGGCTTGTTTCACGTTGATAGCATGAACTAGTTCATCACTTACCCAGTTGATTTATCGTCCTTTCCGGCATCAGCTTCCTCGACGATTGCATTGAACTCCTTAGTTTGGTCCGTGTCGTAAAATCTGTCCAGATCTCCGGTACTTACTGGCCTTGATTTCTTGTCGCCTGATCTTAGTCGGGTTAGAATACTATGCTCTGAATTTGGTGATAGTCTGTTGAGTGATTGAAGTAAGTTATTGACTTGTTGTTGTTTTCTTTGACAACTAGGCTTTGAAAACAGCCACCACCGAACACACCAACCCAATAGACCAGAAAAACAAGAAACAACAACCATCACACAAACCAACACATCTTCTGTCACGCAGAACAACAAGACTAGCAATCAAACAAACGAGAAACCATAAACAATGAACAAACCTGTCTGGTGAAGCTAATGATTTTGGACTTGAAGGGAGGCTGTTCGGTGATTCTGTTGGTAATGATGAGGCTACGCTGACGGGTGATTTGCCATTGTTGCTGTCAGTCGGACTAGAAACTTGTACTACCCTGCATATAGAGAATTGGTATCATTGTTAAACAAGCAAGCAAAACAACAAGACAAGTAGTTAGATGCAACCAAATTAAACTAACGATGATGCAATGAAGCATTGGGTAATGCAGCCAATTGACGAACCAAGCAAGAAGACAAGCTATCAATCAGTCAACTTGAGCAGCCAAAACAACCGTTTCAGTCGAATTAAATGCTTTAAATGTTGTTTCTACCTGTTATCATTATCGTCTTTGGTTATCTTGAGCTCTTTTAGACTCCCTCGTTTTCTCGTTGACCTAATGAAAGCATAAATTCACTCAATATATCTTTAAATTTAATAATACCTTTTAAGTAGAAGTATCATCAGTTCGAGCAAACTTACCTTCTTTTCACGGACTTTCTACTTATTGACGTACTGACTATCCTGCAGGAATTATGGATCGAATCGTTGAGAATATTAATCATGTTCTTCATAGTTTCCAAAGCGTTTTCTAGATGGAAGCTATCTGGATGTGTTGAGTCTGTACATTTTGATAATTGCTGAAAAGAAAATGACCAAAAAGTATTATAACTACGCTACACGACTATCACTATTCAAGTGGAACTGTTACGAGACATTGCTCTGCCCAAAAACAAGAGATTCCCTGGTTAAGTAGTTAGAATASTTACTCTAAGCAAAAGAACGTATCTTGGAAGTCTTTGAATAGGTGTCAGTAAATAGGCCGCTAGATCCAGTCCCTCACATTCAGGATCACTCGAGCAGTTCTGTAAATGAAAGAGATTGGTTAACAGATAATTCTATGAAAAAGAAGAATGACTTTTGGTCATTAACAAAATTTAAATTTAAACTTCATGACACGATTAAAGCTTACAGCGGTTTATAATTATTACCTGCAGAAATCTTCTGAATTTCTGAGACCCTCTAGAGTACTTATTGATCACCGCCATGGCTTTTGGGAAATTATTGACATAATCAGAATAGATCTTCAAAACATCAATCTGTTGGAACAAAAAAGATAAATGAGCCACTGCGCCATGTGGGATAGAATCAGAAATGATATTGAGCATGCGCAATTCATTGGTTTATTATGCTGTTGTAGGGACAATAATACGTTACAAATGGAGCTCACTTCGAAATTGGCGTCAAGTTAGACGTTCTTAGAGCGCTTACTTGGGTGTAAGTAGCATTATTACAATTTCGTATACAAAACAGGCTCATATATTTGTATTCCGGGGATCCAGTCAAGATGAAAAAGACACGAGAAGATGTCCCTGCTGAGCTAGTAAGAGTTGACTTACACCCCTTCTTATTTATGTGAACATGCAGTCGACTAGGCTCGCGGTATAATGTATGCGCACATGCGCGATCTACTCACATGGTACGAACTACTCAGCTTGGTAAAGATATCCCCCACAATGCCGTATTGCTTCCAGTTCTCTATTCGATCCTCAAGTTCTTTCATAAATAGGGTGTGACTGTCACGAATTAGACTAAGCTCATTGGGAAATATAATACTGAAACGAAGCAAAGAAAATTATTACAAACACGACTAAACAATATTAAAATATTACGTTAATCTGCCATTAAAAAGAGAATTTGAGTCCCTTTGGTCTTCTTCAATTTCAATTCTCAAAGTACACGAAATCAATACAATATGTCTTTATCTGTTAGGTACGATTAGTCTAGAACAAAACATGACCTCCATTACTCTTATATCCATTGCCTGGGAGTGTCTTAGTAAGTGGTGTCTATTAGTCTGGCTAATAGGTTCAACTCCACGCCCTGATCCTGCGCCGCCATAGTCTCAAATTGAAGATCATTTACAGCATCGTATCTCCTCAAAACTTCGCGATTATCTTAAAATGGTTTTTGTATTACTCTAGCGTTTTTCCAGATATCGTTTTGATTATAAATTTAGACCGTTGAGGTTGAAATATGATTTCGAACTTTTCCTTCTCAACTTGAAAAGCTAGTCAACTTTTTACTTTTTAATTTGTTTCCGTGACACAAGAGGAAACCTCTGTCATTACTTAATTGCTTAGCGTTGTCCAAGGGGAAGCCATGAACCTGTCCTGAATATTACAGGCCCTCGGGGAAGGGGCACTTACAGGAGCAGGAACCTAGGAAGGTTTGAGCACAAAAGCTTTACGGCTACTTACTCGATATCTTTAGTTCCTAGAATTGATTCTTCTCTTAAAGGATCTTCAAATATCTAAAAAACAAAACAATATATTTATAAGCGCACTAGATACTAAAAAATTATAATATTTCATAGAAGTAATAATTTAATTTACCAATTTAACTTCATTGCGATTATGTTTCAAAACTAGAAAAGTTTGCTTCTTTACCTTTTTTAATGTATTTAAACAAGCTAAATATTTCTTTTCTGTTTCTAGTATTTCGTTCGTTACTTGGAGACGTTTTTCTGTAGAAAAATAAATAAACACAAATGGTGTATAAGTTAGTGCTTAAAAGTCATAAGCCGCGAAAAATTTGTGAATAAATTATAAAGGTTATGGTATGCATGTTTATAAAGGGAATTGGCGCCAATGTCTTGTGCACCCTAGCCAATAACATACAAAACACATAAGCACTATACTTGACTTTTTGCTATGCAAAATAATTGCTAGAATACTCTAAGGTGTTTAGATTTTCTCGTAATCTATCCCCGGGTAATATGTCTTTTTGTCGTATCAACATTCACGCCTTTTGGAACTTTTATTGTTTCTTTTTACACCAAGTAGATTTGCCTTTTGTTTTATTCTCTTATTTAGCTGTTAATAACGACCTGAGCTGTATTTCTGCACAGAATATGCATGGGTATATCAAGTATTTTATAATGTTATTTTCAATATTTCTTGATAAATTGATAACATACCATCTTTCTTAGATATTACAGTCGCCGGATGACAACTACACGTCGTTCGTCGTTCACGCGATCGAAAGGTGTTCTCGTTAAAGGCTGGTAAAACTAGATTGGCCAACATCTCATGCTTCGCTTTCACCCGGATGTTATTAAGGTGGAATTCTGGAAAATAAGAGATTGAAAATTTGATTTTTAGTTTTGGTCAATAAAGACCATCAGAAGACATCCCTGGTGTGCAAACTTGGAAGTTGAAAACTTTGAGAAAAGGAAGTTGCTTTAAAACAGCTGTTTGTTCCTTTTTACCTCGAAAGCAAAAGCAAAAGTTAAAGTACACGTTCACTTAGTCAGGCCTTCATCGCATCAGGGAGAATTTTCAAAATGATTGTCGAATATTAGATGACACGCCTTTTTAACAGGTTTTGCAGGTAAGACCCGCATAGTGGAGCCCATCAAAACGATCGTCTCCTTTATACCAGGATCCTATTCATTGGTACATTATAAGCTTGAAATCTGATCTTTTACCGTTTTTGCAATCAGTAGTCGGAACACGTTCTTTAGTGATCAATGCGGTTTTTTAAGTGATGCATGTATTGTCTATTCAAAACAACGATTAGTGTTTTTCGGAATTCCGTCTCCGTCGCTGTGTTTCCTGATTGCTTGAGGCACGCAATGTAGACTATGCTGTCTTCACTTGAACAAAAAAACATCACACTTCAAACTGAGAATTTTCTAGTTAACTACTTCAAATAAAATATCAAAATACAAGATTTGTTTATAAATATTGTCAAAACAGCACAGCTTCTCATGAAAATATTTATCAGTTTAGAGGAAAGTTGTGGTTTTCAAAGGTTAATGTGACTAATCTGGTGAGAGAATTAAAGTTCGTGTTACTGTAGAACACCCAAACTGTTGACAGTCTCTCACGACGATCAGTTACTTTTGTTTACGATGAATTGAGTGCAAGGATAATAGCTGATCCATACCACCCCCTTGAAACAACAACCCCCTCATGGATAATCACACTTGAACGACCAAAGTATTATAGCTAATTTTAGTGCAACGAAAAGGCTTTTTTTTCCTTTTCCACTTGCGCAATCACCCCCGTCAAAAAAGTTGAACAATCACCATCAATCTATCAAACATTTATTCATGCATTATTAATGTCGGACATGAAAGCATGGATGAATGAATGTCTGAATCGAGATTGAATAGGAATCAATCAATGAATACGAAAAGTCGGTGAATGGATAGAAAGGTAATGCGAGGTGATAGTATATCACAAAGAGGTATAAAGATTAGAATTGAATAAATAAACAAGAAGATCAAAGCTTTAACTGAGTTAAATCAAAGAAATTACTTGTACGTTATTCTTGTTTCTATAATAATTAAACTTAAGCGTCTTTATACTTTGTGGAATTAAGTATAATTTGAATTTTTCTTGCTATGCCTAAGAAACATATTTCGATTTCGATGTTCCGACATTCAGTCCACTATGTTCACACTTTTCTTATAAAAACGCCTGATCAAAACAACGCCACCATGTTTAATTTTCACGACAAAGGAGCCGAGCCAGTTCTTGAAAAATCAATGAGTTTTGGCTCTTTTTACATTTAATATTTTTATTCCATGGTATGAAAAAGCCCGAAAAAGGTGATTTATAGAAGTAAAAAAGTGTTTTTCACTCACCTGTGTTACTAAATCCACGTGCACCTCGTCCTTTCAGCCCGACAGGATAAGCTGGAGTGAGCGTGCTTCGTCGTCTTGCTATACTTGCAAGTGCTGGTACCTACACAAAACAAATGTGTTCTATTTGAGATCAATGGCCATACGATCCACAGGATATACAGGCGGAATATTGTACTAATTCCCCAATTTTCAATAAAGACGCAAGGTTATACTTAATGCTCACGTGTTCGTTACGTACATCCTGCTGAGAGTAGGCATGCCTATTATGAAAACTGACCAATCATGCAGCTTGAAATCTTAAACAACTTTTATCAATATAACAGCACAAAAGAACGTTATCACGACGAATAGTGTGATATATGTTGCGCAGATATATAAAGTAGATGCCTTGGAATGAAGTTCACTTCAAAATCTTACGCTTTTTTATGCTGATATTTCTGTATTTTTGACATGATTCATACAGAAGGTACAGATGGATAAAAAACAGCAAAAACCTTCAGTTCCTTAACGCAAAATCATACAGAATCTAAAACGTTCATGTTTATAACGTTCATGTTTATGCCAGACGTTCACTTTTGTCAATATTTCATAGCTTTTACGGTGTAGGGACTTATTCCTTTACTCCAGGATGGGGATCAATACTTGATATGTGTGATGACGGTTAAAACCATGCCCGAAGTCACATTGTGCAAGATAGTCCGAGAAGCCCTCAATTATAACAATACAGCTCTATGTAGCAATTAAACACCTCATTTGATATTATGAGAAAAGAATGAGAACAATGATAAACGAAAATAAAAATAGAAATACTATGAGAGCATAAACACAAATCATACATGACATGTCTACCCCACCCCCTCCCCCACATAGATATTGACTTATATTGAGTATTTTTGACGATCAATCTGGTTTAAATTAAAACAGTCAATGAAATCCACGGCTGATAAGTATACATAATATCCGATCACTATAAGTATGTTTGACACTACTTTAAATTTACTCCGACGAATGATTAACGTCAGTAAGTTGTTTCACCTATTTTTTACGGTGTTAAATTTAATCTTTTTACACAACTGTTTCTTTAGAAACAGCGACGCAGCTCACACTAGTTTACCTCTAGTTTCCACCATTTTGACTACTCTTAATTGCAACGTTCATGTACGGAGACAAAACGTCTTTTAGAAAAAAAAATATGTTTTTATGTTTTTAGTTCCGCCTGGACAAATAAGAGCGATCCATTAGCAAGTTTATTTGATTACTTTTTATAAAATGTCAATCCTGTTCCAATATACAAAGAGGTATCACCTTGAGGGCAAAATCATAACTATTTGTGACGTCCAATAGTATTTTTTTTTAACAGTGCAACATCTTGAAATTAGATTTTAGTTTAAAAAAAATCGTCAGTGCAATATATGTTACAATAAGAAGGTTTGAACGAAAATGTTTACATATTTATGTTATATAAATAAAACATTCACTGGATTCCTGAATGAAGGAGATCAATATCAGGCATTCTGTCTTATTCTCTATTTGCAGCAATGGATAACGATGTTATCGAAGCGGTTCGTGTCTTTTGTGTACCTCGACGTCATCGCGTGACATTTCAAGTGTTGGAAACACTTAATTCAAAGGTGACAATCAAAAATCACAGTAAACTCATTAATTCAAGAAGGTAGAAGATCAAAGCTTCTAGAATCAGCTGATTACATAAGACACAGAATGTTACTTTTAAAATCATTTTTATGATTAAATTAAAGCCGATCACAAGTCGTTGAATATGATATTTGTAAGTCAAAGGTCTTGACTGACTAACCGTCCATCAACACATTATAACGTTGATTTCAGTATTTTCAAATGACTGTTTTGCAAACCTAACCTCTATCCAGGGACAAAGGAAAAGTAATCCTAACGGAAGCAGGCTGTTTACCTTGGATAACGCTCTAGAAACCTGTTTTAAAGTGATTCTCTCTTTTCAAGCATCTGGATAACGGATGGACAACTTGGTCTGCCACTATCCCATGAACCAGTTTCAAACGAGTTTACACAATTTTATAACTTAGTTATATGGTACATCCTTCAAAACACGTCTGACTGAGAGTCTTCATTTTGCATTATAAATGGGTGATATCATTGTGATTAAATGAGATTTTGAGCCGGTAGTTAGCGAGAATGATTACGATAGGCCAAACCGCAAAGCAATCGACGATAAATGAACACCATGTTTAAATTCTAGAAGCAATTCACAGTACGATCGAATCTTAAATAGTCTCATTATCTAAATGTTTACTCCATCACCCACCGTGAAAAAATAAACCAGTTCTATGTTACCAATGATTGTGTCTAGAACTTGCTCTCGAGGTTTTCTTTTCTTTCTTCGCTTTATGGGTCTAGGATCGCTTCTCGCAGGTATAGTAACCATTTCCATTTAGGAGAGTTTATCTCTCGACTATAAGTTCAGGTCTTGACGTTAATCCAATGTTATTGACTAAGGAATAGTGTATCTCGACCGCCATTTGTTCAAGCTTCTGACCGATTTGGTTCAGAGGTGATGTGGAGTTGTTTGTAAAGAGTGGACACCATGAAAGGTAAGCAACAACGATTATTGGCTAAACAGAACAAAGGCAAGAATTCGAAAAATGCAGAATTTTGACTACGCAGCGAGAAATGACAAGCAAAGTAAACCTCCAGCAAATAGATGTAATCATTTGAAGAGAATTTCTTTGTAATTTTGAAACCTCATGTAAGGAACACCAGCGTTGATTGGTATAAGCTGAAAGAGTTACGATTACCGCTGGCAAAAACAATTAAGAAGAATTAGGTAAATTAATGACGAAGGCCACTAGGTATTTCCTGATTTCCTATGTTAATCCCATTTTCATCTCTTTTCTTTTGACAAAGAGCGGAATTGTTAAAGCTGAGTAATAATGTTCATCAATTAGTAAAAACTCCAGGTATTGATCTCATTTTTAATAACTTCACCCCAGAATTTAAACAATTTTTGGAGTCGTTTTCCACAGGTATCATCTCGTGACTTAGTTCTAAAAACATCAGTCTTTACAAATCTCATCTCGTAACTTTGTTTTCGATACTCAATCCCCCACGTCAATTAAAGGTTCTTGATGAATCCAGAAGTGTTTATTGAGACTAGCTAAGAAATAACACGACCAACTCTTTGATCTTGAGTGGGCTCCTTTGTACCCTAGTGCCAGAAGTCTGGGAGTGTCATAATTTCCTCTCACGAAACCATCACGCTCGCACGATACAAACGATGTAGAAATACTTTAAAAAGGTGTGAATTACGTGGTGATTTCTTACAAACAATTAATCAGCAAAACACCAATATTAAACTTGTTCCTTTTTGAGCAAAATATTTCAAAAGTTACTTAAGTTCAAAGTTTAAGTGATCACTGTGGTGGCAGTGATGAATCTCATGATGGTTAGAGAATTGTATAGTCGTTCTACTAAAAGCCAATTACAAAAAAAAAACCTCTAAAAAATCTACACCAACAAACGTAAAAAGAAATATGAAAAGATCAAGGGATATACTTTGCAAAGGAGTATTTCCTGAAAAAAGTCATTGACGAATACTTGTCAATCAATGGATTCCTAGGCAAGATAACAGCTTCAAGATTGTTACCTGTTATCACGACCTTGGGAAATCTAACATCGTTATCTTGAGGAATGATACAGAACAATAATATCACGTTAAAAAGAGATAAAGACACTTATTTTCACTAGTTGTTTAGACTTCATGTTGTTCAATATTAGTTCCTTTTTTACGTAGAAACCAGTTTCGATAGCGAATTTAATGAGTCATAGGGATCACACTGTGAGACAATTATTCCCTGAAGTCAATAAAATAAGAAAAAAACCCGTACATTGTTACGTAACTACTGTACCAATTGCTTAAATCTCGCGTGATCTGATAAAACTCATCTCTCCACTGAATGATATAAAAGTATTATAGCAGTCATAACACCATGACTTGGGTCTGAGAATTCATTTGTGTAATGAACTGATGCCCTGCTGATCAACGCTGGAAATTAGACATGTTACAAAGGAGGTTCAAAGGTATCCGTCCGGGATACTGTAATATTACTAAGGAAAATAATACTTAACAATTAGCCCTGGAGTCTTTGTATAAGTGGCTACGACATGTTAGGTCTGAATAGCATGTTGGGTGAAAAAATCAGCATCATTTTAAGTTTCTCGTCATCATCATCAACCGCATCTCTGTCATCAATTTATCATCATCATTATTGCCATCATCATCATCGAGGCACAACTATACTACCTACTACAATTACAAACCTTCACAATGGCTATACGCCTGATACAGAGCTAATTCAGTCATAGCTATAGTAATTTTCTTACACGGACATTCTAGAACACTTGATCAAAAGTAGAGACCTACCGATACTTGTCAGGTGTACCGTACGAGATGTCACTGTGATTCATCCGAGGGAAGTTTCAATAGAAGTCTGTATGGGTGTTTGATACAAGTAAGAGTCCACCATACATGATGTCCTGACGTAAGATACTTGTCAGGTGTACCGTACGAGATG